TCACAGCAACCTCCAATTCCTGGGCTCAAGCAATTCTCCTGCCTCCAGCTCCCAAGTAGCTGGGACTACAGGCGCCTGCCACAACATCCAACTATTTTTTGGTTGCAGCCATCTTTGTTGTTTGGCGGGCCCAGGCTGGATTTGAACCCACCAGCTCAGGTGTATGTGGCTGGTGCGTTAGCTGCTTGAGCCACAGGTGCCAAGCCACAAGCAGGCCTTTCTAAGGGTGTAGTTCAGGCTTCCTGTGCTAACTCTTCTCTGCACAAACTAAGTGTAGCAATGTGGGGGAGTCTCACAAACATCATGTGGAGCGACAAGCCAGACGTAGAAGAGGATGTACGAAGGGATTCCATTTGTGTAAGGTGTAAGAACAGTCCAAACTATGCCACTACAAGTCAGAGGAGTGTTTCCCTGTGGGTGTCGGGTGGGAAATGACTGGAAGGGGCACGAGGACGTCCTGGGGTCCCGATGATGTTCTCTCTCTTTGTCTGGCTCCTTGTTACATTGGATGTGTTCTGTTTGTGAAGTCTCTGAGCCGCACACTTACATGTTTACTTTTCTGCTAGAACATTATGCTTTAATAAAATGTTTTTAAAAGCCTAATCATAGAAATCTTTGTAAATCTACTTTGAAGAGTTTGAGGATTAACAAAATAGTATATGTATAAGCACAGAGATGTAGTTACAAGATTCAGGAAGGGAAGGAAAGCAAGGTTTAGATTCTTCCTGTAATGTGTGGCATTATTCAAATAAATTGCTTATTATGATCTGGAAGTACAATAGAAAATTATCAGCAATTAAAGCTTAACCAAAGCTTAAACTATGTTAAGACACAGTATTAGATATACATAATATATGTTAATTATTTGAAAGGTGGATTATGTATCTTTAATATTTCTATTAATTTTTCAGAAAACAAGGTTTATTTTAGCCAAACATATCATTGAAGCCTGAATAAACAGGAATTTTCTATGTGTTATTAAATATATTGTTTCTAGGTAGGCACAAATTCAGATGGTGTCAGATAATTTTGGGTTGTCCTAGGAAGACTAATATGTAACTACTGGAGATGAACTTATATAAGACCTCTGAATAATGTCTGTTAGACAACTTAGTATCTCAAACTCATTAAGACATATTTTCTGGAACTTAAAAAGCCTCATCAACTATCATATCACCACTGAACAAAGATATTCTAAAAGCTTGCTATGGTTGCTGAATTTTAAAGTATTATTGTTGGACATCAATGCTATGAGTGGATCCTATTCTACGGGTAAAAATGGAGAATATTACGATTAACTCATTGAATTATCTGAATTGATTACATTTGCTGCTGACTTGAAACATTATTACCATATCAATTTCTTATTATACCAGTTCAATTCTTTCATTTCCGTCATAAAAGAGATGCTTAATAGATTGGAATCTGAACATAAGACTAAACTGGAGCAACTTCATATAATGCAAGAACAGCAAAAGTAAGTAGGTTGCAAATGAATCGCACATGGGCAGGAGTGAGATTAAAGTTGTCTTGTGACTGATTTTCTGGAACGTGGAGTAGAAAAATAGCTAGATTTTCATTTGATCAAATGTAAAACATTTTAACTTTTTCCAGCATATTAATAAGTTGAGTGAATTAAAATGTATTTGAAAATCTAATGTGGTTTCTGAATACAAAGAGAGAATCTTAGCATTTTCTCTGCAAAATCTTTTGTCTGCATTCGCCTCTGGCATTGTGAACTCAGGCTGCTGAACACCAGGAGCACCACTGATAAATATTTTTCAAATTTATCAATTCCGAGTGTTCCATTTTTTTCCTTTCTCTTTCATCTAACTGTAGAAACGTTTATAGAGCATTCATTTCATGAGTAGTGAACATTCACAGCATTCACCTCCTTACTTGTAGAGAAGATTTGCTAAGTTATTTGCAGAACAAGGTCGCTGCAGAAAGTTTTGAGACAGTGTTGTGGTCCATTATTTCACTTCCCAGAGACACAGTCCACAGCGTCCTTTCTGATTCACCTGTGCACATTTCAACTTGCTCAGCTTATCAGTGTAGCTGGGGGAGGGCTTCATTGGTTTATGTCTGTGAGGATTTTACATTTTGTGTGTATCTTAAAACTACCATGTTCATTCATATACTCAAATAAGAAGGCAAAGAAGGAAATTGTTCACTGGAACATGCCAGTTTATTAAAATCAAAGCTCTACTATATTCTTTGCTACAGAGCAAAGCGTATGAATTTGGGATACCCATTAAAATTTAATCTTGAACCAAAAGGCATCTGAAAATCCGTAAAGTTGACATTAATCATGAGCAGCGTCTCCAAAGACCAACTCTTCATCTTTTGTCCTAGTGTAAGATGGAGACTTGCAATGAAAGTAAACTCACATGGTGTAGAAATAGGCAGAACAGCCCTGTGTGCTCTGAGTATTCTGTGGTGTATACATGTGTGATGTTTATTTTTTTTTGGCTGGGGCTGGGTTTGAACCCACCACCTCCGGCATATGGAGCCAGCGCCCTACCCTTTAGAGCCACAGGCGCTGCACCATCTATGATGTTTAATGGATTGTCTATAATAACATAGGAACTCTGAAAAATAATTTTCATACGTAGACACATTTTAATATCTAGTACTTACGGTGGAGTAAGGAAGTGAAGCTTCCCTTTTTCTTCTTTCCGTCTAAGTCCTACCTGTTTCTCAAGACTGAAATCTGGCCCACATCTCTGTGATTTACAGCATTTGTTGTTACTATCGCAGATTCTGAGTTTAATCACCTTAAGTTTCCCCTATTATTCTCTCAGTGAGATGTGAAGCCTTTGGAGCTGAGAGCTATGCTTTCTGGTCTTATGATACCTTGAGTAAATTCATCATTAAATTCCAAATGTTGAGTTTTAAAAAAGGACTTAGATCAGTGGTTCTCAACTTTCCTAATGCAGCAGCCCTTTAATTCAGTGTCGCAACCCCCAGGTTGAGAACCACTGGCTTAGATACACATTATTTTTTGAGCAAATAAAAAATAATGGAAAAGATTATGACTCTCCCCAAACAATGAAGTCACATTTATTTGGGTTCTAATAAATTCCATGTGGATAAACAGTTTTTAGTTTGAGTACTTAAAAATCTGCATTTCTTTTTATTGTTTTGTCATAATTCAACTCTCTTCCAGATCTTTGGACATAGGAAATTCAATGAATGCTTCTGAGGAGACAAAAGTTACCAATGTTGGGAATCAGGTAAGAAGATAATTTTTATAGAAAGTGCTTGACAATGCACTTCCCTTGTGGGGCTCTTAATCTTTAATCAGCAAATAGGACATTTTTATTGAAATCTGTTACCATGATTGACTTTTTTCTATTTCAGCAACTAGACAAGGTTTTTACCAGCCTTGGAGGAGACCTGCTGTCTGGCGGGGAGCCAGAAAACAAAGAGGATGGGTCACACAATAAACAGAAAAGAGTGAGTTTCTTTATTGGTCTTTTAGTACTGTTATTTATATTTTAAGATTTCCTGTAGAGCACAGATTTCTCTTGAGAAATTTACTTTAGAATCTTAATTAGAAACATTGTGCTACTATCTTTATGAAGCGTCTTTATCAGCAGACATGACCTAACCCATGTTGAGAGTAAACTCGGGTAAGATTTGCAGCCTCCTCTCTCCTGGCCCTCCCACGTGGGAGTGTTTCTAGATGGCCTGCCTCCTGGCCCTTCCTCGTGCACTTGGCCAGTCACACCTCCTGTTAACGTCCCCCTTGTCTCTGCTCTGCTTCTGTCCCGTGCTGATGGCTTCCCCTGCAGGTTCGTGCCCTCCCTCTACCTTGGGCTCCCCTGACCGTGCTCTTCAGTATTCTAATTTATCTCCTACTTACTACGTTCCCAGCTGTTTGAGTTCCAGACTTTTTCCATTCTTTTGTGCCCAGCAATCTCATTTCTCCTCTTTTATTTCATGGTGACAGCCTTAACTTTTATGGCCCATCACCTTTTCAGCTGACATTTTTAAAGAGTACTGGTCAGTTATTTGATAGCATGGCCTTCAATTTGGGCCTGTCTCATGCTTTCTTGTAATTAGATTAAGGTTGTGCATTTTTGATGAGAATATCACAGAAGTGATGACATGTTCTCCTTGGTTCTTTCTATCAATGGTACATGATTTCTGCGTGACTTCTTAATGGTAGAGAAACAATATTTTAAAGACGGCTTCAAAATAGATTTGATTCCATCAGATAAAAAATCTGAGGCCTTTTTTTTCTTCTCTGTTTCCTCTTAAAATTTTGCTCTCCCTCTGATTTTGAATAGTAAACTGTGAAATAATACTTTTCTATTGAAATTTTGGTTAACATCCAATATTAAAAAAATACTTAAGTCAGTTTTACCCCAACTTCTGCTGGGGGTATTCTTCTGTTCATTCACCAAATATGAATACTTGTATGTGTAAAGCCAACAAACTACTGGGCATAGCTGTTCACAAAGGCGTAAAAGAGCATATTGTTGAGGTTATGGTTTAGCAAGGTTCGTAAGAGATAAAAGCATCGAGTTTGCTGTAGACATTAGCAGTGAAAGTATGCATTTGTTCAAGTCTTTCTTAGCTTTTTGGTGAGTTCCTAAAGTATTTTTTTTTGCAATTTTTTCTTTTTTTTTTTTTGGCTGGGTCTGGGTTTGAACCCGCCACCTCTGGCACATGGGGCCTGCACCCTACAGGTACCACAGGTGCCACCCAGTTCCTAATGTATTTTTGTAGTGAAGTAAAGTTGAACAAGATCTTCTAATTTTATAGAAAGAAATCACTTGATTTTTTTTTGTTCTTGTTAAAAAAATTAAATCTTGTAGTGCTTTGAAGTAAAACCTAACCCAGACAATCACCAACACAGGAATAGTTTTTTAGTGAAGTGGTACATATTGCTGAATGTACTAAGATGTACTTTACCAAAAAAGAAAAGTACTTTGTTTATAAACAGAATTATGAAGCTGCCATTTGATATTTTTTTCTATGTTTTAATTAAGGGATCTCTTACCCTTGAAGAAAAACAAAAATTAGCAAAAGAACAAGAGCAGGCACAGAAGTTGAAAAGCCAGCAGCCTCTTAAACCTCAAGTGCACACACCGATTGCTCCAGTCAAACAGGTCAGAGTTGATTTCTTTTGCATAATGTCAAGTATACCACTGTTAGGGATTATAGTAGTATAGAATTTAATCTACTAGCATTTTTTATAAACATGTGTTTTAAGGGACACTTTGATACATAGTTTCTAAGAAAAATGGTCATAAAGGATTTCCCATTGACTCCACTGTAACCTGCCCAGTGTGTAATGTTTGGTGACAGTGCTTGTTACCAATAAAGAGGAATCTAGATGAATAGGAGGGGTTCTTAAAGAGATTAGGTCTCATAGCACAAGTACAACCCAGTTGACTTTGAAATGAACGAGAATATTACATTCATGCTGTTATGTATTTTTGAGCTACAAATAATTTTCTATTTTTAGCTTTTCATTTGTGGTTAGGTCTGCAACTTGATTTAGCAGGATATATTTATGTAACCTGGGCAGCATTTATTTCTACCATGTTCCTCCAGGTATTGTTCTAGGTGCTGGTGTTAGGGCAGTGAATAAGGGCCCTGCTTGTAGGGAATTTATACTCTTAATGGTTTCAGAATAAGCTTTATCTTTAAAGTTTTCTTTAAATTAATTCTTTGTTGTTACCTGTTAATCACTGAAATTCTTTCTCTGAGGAAGAATAATCTTTTATGGCAGGGGCCAAAATTGGGAACATTTTGTAGGTACTTATGCACATACATAAGGATAGAGAAAATTCTACAAAGTTTTGATGAAATTCAAAATAAAAAGTAATAGAATCTTTTTTTGTGATACAGATGTACTAATGAGATAGTGCTCTAATGTTTTGGGGGAGATAACATTTTGCTTTAACTGGGGTTTCAGTTAGTGCTCTTCATCACGAGACTGAGCACAGATACTCACCTCTAAACACCACCCAGAGTTAGGTGGCAGCTGGATTTAGCTTGGAGGTCATAGTTTGCTAGTGCAGACCATTGAGCTTCATTTTAATTTACGCTTTCTAACGTAATCTGTAATGTTTACTAATGGTAAATAATTGATGCTTACAAGTATAACCTGTGATGTTTACTAATTATAAACCGTTTGGATTTCTTGGAGATGAAGTAATTCCCTCCTATTTTTCAGACCAAGGACTTGACAGACACCCTGATGGATAATATGTCATCCCTCACCAGCCTTTCTGTCAGTAACCCTAAACTCTCTACTTCAAGTACCTTCACTTCTGTTCCTTCCATGGGCATTGGCATGATGTTTTCTACACCGATTGATAACACAAAGAGAAATTTGACAAATGGCCTAAATGCCAATATGGGCTTTCAGACTTCAGGATTCAACATGCCGCCTAATACAAACCAGAACTTCTTCAGTAGTCCAGGCGCGCCTGCAGTGAGCAAGGTGACCCTGGGAACACCTCCCACTCTGCCAAACTTCAATGCTTTGAGTGTTCCTCCTGCTGGTTCGAAGCAAACTCCACAAAGATCCACAGATATGTCTGCCCTTAATAATCTCTTTGGCCCTCAGAAACCCAAAGTTAGCATGAACCAGTTATCACAACAGAAACCAAATCAGTGGCTTAATCAGTTTGTACCTCCTCAAGGTTCTCCAGGTATGGGCAGTTCAATGGGAACACAGATGAACATGATGGGACAATCTGCCTTTGGTATGCAGGGTAATCCTTTCTTTAGTCCACAGAACTTTGCACAGCCACCAACTACTATGACTAATAGCAGTTCAGCTAGCAATGATTTAAAAGATCTTTTTGGGTGAGGTGTCTTGCTTCTGTTTTGAAGGATTACTTAATTTTAATCATGGGTGAGCTGATTGACATCTTAGTATAGTTGGCTTGGAGGAACTCCTATGGGAAGGTGAATGGTTCTGTGACAGAAAACATCTGTTTCCGTGCCAGCATGGTAGTTGTATGGACTTCTAACCAGTTGAGTTTGTTTTTTAAAGCATCGAGGATTTTTTTTCCTCTTACCAACTCCTCTTCAGGTTTTTAAAGGCCCAACCTTTACCAATCTCAAAGAAAAAACAAGGACAGCTGCATTATCTTGAATAGCGGAATTTTTCAATCATCTGTTTATTTTGGCTTGTGAATCTTGATGTTATTTAAAAAATCGATTTGATGGGTCATTGCAAGCTCATCTGTTAAGTACAATGTGGTGTACACAGTCTCCCTTCCTAAGAAGTCTTAGTCTTCATTTTAATGTGTGAAAACTCTTGATGCCGTATCAATCTGTTTGCATTTAGTCAGACTGAGAGAGAAAATTATAAGCATAAAGAGAAGGATCAGGTCATTTCCTTTTTCCAAATTTATTTACTTTTCAGATGAACTAGTGTTTAGTACAAAAAGATTGAGCAAATATTGAAAAATTTGACTTACCTTGATTTCATTGGTTTAAATACATGACTAACCATCTTAACTGCAAACTAATCATTGTAAATTCTATTTTAGCATGGTCTGCCTCAAGTAGTAATGTCTTTTTCTGCATTTACTTGGGTATGTATAGAATCCCTTTTTTTCATCCTCCATCACAGAAGAGGTATGTGCTGATTGGTACAGATAAACTTGACAGAGCACTCTGAGGGGATTTCCCTACCTACTGCCTTCATATTTCATTCTGAATTCAGACCTCTGAAGTTACAGCATATGTGAATTGCATTTTCAAAAGGAGATTTGTAAGAATTAAACTATATTTAATGAGTAAATTTTTGAGATTTCTGCTGTATTGTTTCAAATGTAATAAACTTTACTTCTCTAAAAATGAGCAGTTGTATCTTCTGGCTACCAACAGATTGATTTCTGCCTGCCATGATCGTCCGACCTCCTCAATTACTGCTACTCAATTTTAATTATTTTCTAGGAATTTTAGGAACCTTTTGTTTGAACATTTTGATGTGTATAATAAGTGATTTGGAAAAAGTAAATTCTCCTAACAGGAAACATGCTTTATTTTTCAATACCTTCTTCTGATATTTTTATTTAATTTGCTGATTATTTAACCACAGAGCCTTATGCTATAAATGTCATTGTATTTTTAAAAAATTATATGCCACTGTTATGTGATAACCTTAAAACTATCTTTCAAAGAACTATATGTGTATTATAGTTACTGCCATAGAACTTGTGGTTTTTAATTATCTGGAACCAGCAATTATTTAAAATAAATCGTATGAAGTTTTGTGTGCTGGTCCTAAGTTTATTCATTGACTATGAGTATTCATTGAAAAATATATATACACATATGCTACATATATTTAATATGTAGTATTTGATTACAAAATATAATTTGATGACATGATTATCGCTGGCAGCATTCACTTAAGAGGGTAGCTTAAAAAATAAAAGTCAGCTTTCACACCTAGTGTCTGTGTGAGCTGTGCTTTGTTACATGGTTTTAGAAAAAGAATTGCTCGAATTGCTAAAGAAACTTAGAAACTTATCCGAGAAATGTAAACACTAGGAAGACCAAAATGTTTTTGCCACATTCATTTATAACTTGACCAGACTAGCTATCTTGTTTGTAACACAATCCGTCCTTTGGGATAAGCTTCCATATGGAATAAAATTGCCTAATGTTGACAATCTTTTCTTTATAATAATTCAGTGGTCACTGTTTATTGAGAAACCTTTTTATTTCATACAATAACTTGATGTCGGTGTTGGGACTCCTAATTAGAAGGAAAGCTAAACGAAAACAGCTTATCTAACTTGAACTTCTAAATATGAAAATAGATTATTTGAAAAAGTATGTAAACTTTGCTCATTCATTTGAGGTAATGGTGCTACACTTTTATGAGATTTTTCCTGTGCTTGCTTCTACTTTCTCAAAGGCATTTTATTTAAGTCAATTGAACTGTTGTCATTGCCTTTTTCTGCTGAAAAGTTGCCTCTGAAAAACAGTGCTATTTTTAGGCTTCTGTGTTCCTATGTAAACGAAATTTTCAAAGTACTAGATTGCCTTAAAATTATTTCAGATATTGAAAGTGCTTCAGTCCCTTGTGCTTAGGGTAGAAAACTGGTAGGTTAAAGAGCACCTGTAGACAAAAATTACAGCGAAGATGCCCTTTGGTTTGGATCGGTTCTCTGTTCTCTGTATGTGTGTGACATACGTAGAGGATGTATAAAAGGAAATGCAAATAGACTTGTACTTGTCTGGGTTTTGTTTTTGTTTTTATTTTGGAATGCATATAACTCTTCCTTTTCACTAAGTTCAGGAGGTAGTTTTTTTCTTTTTCCCCTATTTTTCTTTAACCTATAAAATACCTCACATGGTTGCTTTGACATATGAAAAAACACAAAGGAATATGTGAACATACCTGATAGCAAGTAGAATCTGCACCCAATAAATTTTAGCTTTGATCAAACTTTCCATGGTGAGGTGTGATTTCATACTTTGTGATTCACTGCTCTTGAAATAATTTGAGAACAAATGAATCTGTAAGAATTCAAACTCCATAGGATTTTAAGGGATTATCTGCATTAGTGGCTTTCAAACTGTGACACTTAGTAAGAAATACATTTTATCATGCAGCCACTCCATAAAATATATACCTGAGACAAAACTTTCAGAAAATGATAAGTATAGGATACACTATGTTTATCTTACTAATTCTTGAAAAGTTGATGAAGAAAAAAGTCCCTAAAAGAATTTTATGACTCAGCTGTCTCTCTCTGGAGCAGAGGTAGAAACAAAGGGCCTGCAGCTTACCTGGCTTAGTCCAAAGAAAGAGATCTGAGCCAGGAGCAGAGGCCAGATTCTCTCCTAACCTGCAGACCAGTGCTCCCTGCCACAGTCCCTCCCTTAGTGTGTGAATTCTTCTTGGAGGTGCTTTTGTTGAGACTTGTTTTTTGTAGCAAACATGCCTTTTGAACTTACCAGATACCATATAGCTGGGTGTGGTGGCTCAGGCTGTCATCCCAGCTACTGAGGAGGCTGAGGCGTGTGGATCACTTGACTCCAGGAGTTCAAGGCTGCAGTGAGCTGTGATTGTGCCATTTCACTCAAGTCTGGGTAACAATGAGACCTTATCTCTAAAACGCTTTTAAAATTTTATTGGGTACCTTGAGTGTCTTCAAATTTGGAAAAAGTGGCAATGATGAGGGGGATGACAAAAAAGGCAATGTACATAGTCACCATCAGCCTCTGGGTGGCTGCTGTGAATTGTGGATGAGGAGGGCTGAGGGGCCTGGGTGGGCACTGTACGCAGTACCCAGATATATAGCAGAGTTAAAGCTTATAAACCCGGGGGGGGGAGGGGAATGGTGTTGCCAAAGCCATTTCTCTAAAACAAAGCTTGTTAGATATTATAATCTTTTCCTATCTGGAAATTGCTTCCACCACTCAGGGAGGATTTAACAACCAGGAATACAAGCCACACATGTAATTTAAATTTTATTAGTAATCCCATTAAAAATAGGTGAAGTGGCTCTGCGAACAGAGCTCTGTGAGTGGGGCGCTGGCCACGTACACAGGCTGGTGGGTTTGAGCCCAGCCTGGGCCTGCTAAACAACAATGACAACTGCAACCAAAAAATAGCCAGGCACTGTGGCGGGAGCCTGTAGTCCCAGCTACTCGGGAGGCTGAGTCAAGAGAATCGCTTAAGCCTAAGAGTTTGAGGTTGCTGTGAGCTGCGACTGCACAGCACTCTATGGAGGGCAACATAGTGACACTGTGTCTCAAAAACTAAAAATAGGTGAAGTTAGTATTCATTCTGCATGGACTTACTATGAAAAACTAGTGGGATCATATTTTACGTTATGTTTTGATAACACAGTCTTTGAGATCTAGTGCATATTTTGCCCGTGGCACATTTCAATTCAGACTAGTCATATTTCAAGTACTCAGTAGCCATGTGGCTGGGAGCTAGTGTATTAGCACAGGTGCATCTGGAAGCTCAATAAGCAAAGAAGTGAATTTTGGCAATGACCAGCTTCCTATCTCCCAGCTCCAAACCCCTCTGTCACCCTGCTTCATGCTACTTTTGTACTCTGCCGCCTTGCAGAGTGTTGCGCTTCATCTGCAGAGGGCTCTGGAATGGCAAAGCAATGGCTACAGGAAGACGCTTCACTTCTGGGTTCTGCTTCTCCATTTTCTCCACCGTAGGAGCCCAGTGGCCCAAGCAGAGGACTCCAGCCCTGCCTTACGTTACCTCTGTTCCCCCGGCCCTGCTTCCATGGCACCTCTGCCACCCCTCCAGCAGCTGCCTCCGCGTCTGTGGCCCTTGCCCTCACAGGTTTCTTCACCCTGGGCAGGCTGAATGTTCTCATGGAAACTACCTCCTTTTCAGAGAAGTCATCTGTCAAGAGGGATTTACTTTCTCAGCCAAGAGGTAGTAGCTGCTTTCTCTGCACCTGCACATATTCTGAACCTCTTAGAGCGCAGAATAGTTGCTCTTCGAACAGTTGACTGGCTTCTACTGGTGAGCAATTATGATATTAAAAATTTTGTGTTAAAATTAAATATCTAGCCTCGGCGCCTGTAGCACAGTGGTTATGGTGCCAGCCACATACACCAAGGGTGGTGCGTCGGTGGTGGGTTTGATCCTGGCCCGGGTCAGCTAACCAACAATGACAACTGCAACAACAACAACAACAAAATAGCCAGGCATTGTGGCAGGTGCCTGTAGTCCTAGCTACTCGGGAGTCAGAGGCAAGAGAATCGTTTAAGCCCAAGAATTTGAGGTTGCTGTGAGCTGTGATACAATGGCACTCTATGAAAGACACCATTGTGAGACTCTGTCTCAAAAATAAAAAAATTAAATATTTAATGTGGTTTCTGTCTCCTGACTACCCTGTCTAATACCCACATACATCCGGAATCTACTACTAAACTATTTTAAAATGGGGCTGTGTAATATACAAATGGAATTGTACATTCCAGCCTATGTCAAAACTTTCTAACATTTCTTTAGAAATGGGTTTATATTGGAAATAGGTATTATTAAAGTAGCCAAACCCTATGTGATGCAGTTCCAATTTTGTTATCATCTTTTTTCTTTTCTTTTCTTTTCTTTTTTTTTTTTTTAGGCAGAGTCTCACTCTGTCACCCTGGGTAGAATGCAGTGGAGTCATAGCTTATAGCAACCTCAACTCCTGGGCTCAAGTGATCCTTGCCTCAGTCTTCCAAGTAGCTGGGACTACAGGTGCCCACCACAATACCCTGCTATTTTTTTTTTCTATTTTTAGTAGAGACAGGGGTCTCTCTTTTGTTCAGGCTGGTCTCAAACTCCTGAGCTCAAATGATCCACCCACCTCAGCCTCCCAGAATGCTAGGATTACAGGTGTGAGCCACTGTGCCTGGCCTCAGTTTTATCTTCTTCTTGTCCCTACTTGTTGGATGTGTTCCTTTGTGTATAGGCCTCAGTTGTCAGTGTTTGACTCTCATATAAAAGGAGATAGAGACGTTATATCTAGAGTTTGAATGTATGATTCAACATCATAACAAGTTTATTTCAAGCCTATGTCTCTAAGCCCGTCAGTCTTTCTAAATGCAATGGTGAAACAAAAGTCAACTGTGAGGCCATTTCCACGTGCACACCGGAAGCATGGTGTGTCTCCGTCTGTTCGTACGGAGACGAACAGGAATACCTGAGGCGGGCTTACTTGGCTCGCGGCTTCTACTGGCTGTACAAGAAGCATGACACCAGCATCTGCTTCTGGTGAGGGTCTTAGGGTGCTTCCACTCGTGGCAGAAGGTGAAGGAGCGCAGGCATCCCAGGAGAGAAAGAGGAGACGGTTCCAGGCTTTGTTCAACTACCAGTTCTCACGGGAACTAAGTGAGAACTCGTTCTCGTGGGAAAGGCACCAAGCCGTTCATGGAGGACTTGCCTGCACTTACTCAAACACTTCCTCCCAGGCCTCACCTCCAACACGGGGCATCACATTTCAACATGGGACTTGGCAGGACCAAGCAGACCATACCCAAATCCTAGCATAGTGCATTGACTACTTTGGAGCCAGATACAGGTATGTGTGTGCATGTTTTTTAAGTTTCAGGTTAAAATTATAGCATCTATACTCCATGCACGTGGAGTGGGGTGCTTTACACATTTGTTCGTGTGTTGGAACAGGTGCAGAATTGTTTTTAAGACAATCTCTTAACCGTGGGTGTGCTTCAGATGGCTTTGGTAAAGAGAAAGCGCTCTCACTGGGGCAGGTGTTCCCGGTAACCTGCTCAAATTGCACAAGGGGATGTCACGGGTATCTGTAGCTCCCATGGTTCTGTGGATCTGCCCTCAGTCAGCAGTGACACCTGTATTCCCAGAACTTGTCAGAGAGCAGCCTTTAGCTCTATTGCCCAACACTCAGGGTCTTCTTTTTGAGAAGTATTTATGGAGGAGGCCAAAAATCAAGTAATCCATCCATTTCACTAGAAATTCTAGCTTAAATTAAGCCCATTATGGAGACCTTTACACCTGGTTGCCTTGTTTTAGCATGGATTGAGTTTACAGCTTTGGGTGGTGTTATGAAACATAGTCATGCCAAGGATGATACGAGTTCACTCTAACATACAGTAGTGTCTTTGAGGACCCACAGGAGAAATTTCCTCTGTCAGTTCAGGAGTAAATGTGCTTCTAGGTGACCAGTTTGCCTTGATCTTTTAAAGCAGCGGGTCTCAACCTGTGGGTCGCGACCCCTTTGTAACAATGAAAATACATCCTGCACATCAGATATTTACATTACAATTCATAACAGCAAAATTACAGTTATGAAGTAGCAACAATAATAATTTTATGATTGGGGGTCACCACAACATGAGGAACTGTATTAAAGGGTCGCAGCATTAGGAAGGTTGAGAACCACTGTTTTAAAGTCTCTGAATAATGTAACAAGTCAGTAATCCATCTGCAAATCCATTTACAAAATCCAAATTTGCAATCCATCTGTTGCAAAAGTATGGGATATGAATAGTACACAATATTCAATGCTTACCTTCTGGCTTTATCTGATTTTATCTAATTTCTTTTTGTGTCTTTTGAGACACTCTTGTTCTAATGCCCATCTTGATTTCTCCTTGCTTTCATTTCCTTTTTAAAAAAAGTTTTGGCTGGGTGTAGTGGCTCAACACATGATCAGAGCACTTTGGGAGGCTAAGGCAGGAGGATCACTTGAGCCCAGGAGTTCAAGACCAGCCTGGGCAACATAGACAGTATTAAAAAAATTGTTTTTATTTTAATCATTTTCATAGAAACTCATTTTGGAATGAGGTAGCATATAAAGAGTTATATGGACCGAATGAATTTAAATCTTGTCTCTTTCATGAACTAACCAGAATAAGTTTTCCCGTCTGCAAAATAAGGATCACGCCTGACGGGATTGTTAGATTAAATGAGGTAAAAATGTGTAAAGCACCACGTGGCGTCTGGCACATGG